CCCCTCCAGGGGGGGGTCGGGGCGGCGGGCCTGCGCCCCCCGTGCGCTCGGCGGGGTGGCCCCTGGGAGCCCCTGGGAGCACCGCTGCCCTCCTCCGCCGATCCCTCGCCCCTGAGGGCTCCAGCCTGGGGTCTCCCTCCCCACAGCACTTCCCTCGGGACGCCAGACGCAGGCAGCCAGGGCCCTGCGCCGCGGGCGGGGGTGTGGGGCAGCCCCGATGGCAGTGTGCCATGCAGAGGGTGTTTTTCTCCTAGGTGAGCCGATCTTTTCAGGAGGTGACCCCATCTTTCCCCTCTCTGTTGGCAGCACCTTTTCCAGCACAGCTGGCCGCAACGTTTTTTCTGGGGGGGGTTAGTGGGGGGAGGAAAATCCGACTGGGTGCAGAGGGGGGCCAGGGCCGATGCCTGTTGGGGCTGGTGGCAGATGGCAAGAGTGGGGCAATGAGGTGACCCCATCACCTCTCCTTTGGTGTCCCATAGCGGTGCAGCATGAACGGGGCCCACGGACGTCAACAATACGGAAGCAGGTGGCCCTGTACTTCCGTGGGCACAAGGAGGAGAGTGGCAGGGCCCCCCCCTTCCCCACTACTGCCCTGCCAGCACCTGCCTTCTTCACTGCCGTCACCCAGCTGGAGCCCCACGGCCTGGAGCTGGCCACCGTCGCTGGCACCCCTGAGAGGCAGGCCCTGGTGGGTCTGGCGCAGCCCACCCCAAAGGTCAGCCACCCCCTGGCCAGCCCAAGCTCATGGCATGCCAACCCCGCTGCAGGGTACCCTTCCTCTGGGGTAGTCATGGCAAGGAGCGGGGTTTGGAGCCCTCCCGGTTGTGGTGGAGACTCTCTTTCGTTATATTCCTGAATGCTCTGAAGGTGTGAGTTCCAAGGGGTAAGACAGCCTCTGCAGAAGGGGTGTGCAAAGGGGTTACGTCGCCTGTTGGACCAATTGACACCTGGCTCTGCACAAACCCTCTCTCTCCTACATCCTTATACCCTCATGACTGCAAAAATGCTCCTCCTGCCTGGAAGCTATCCACATGTTAGTTTTAAACATTGTTTCATGAGGATGAGCTTCATCCTCTGAGTTTTCCTTGGCAAAAGGCCCATCTCCATAGTGGTGTAATCGCAAAAGTACTATCTGTGCTGACTGAAGCGTGCCGCTTGACCACACAGATACAGACGTGTCTAAAGTGGCCGTGTGCTTCTAGGCTGTGACATTCCCTAAGTAGCCCAGTGGAAGTACTACCATGGCTTCAGCTGCTCAGGAATTGGCTATAAGTTCATGTCTGTCATTAACTTATTTGAAATGGAATTTTGCATATGTAGGGCACATACAAAATTGTACAAGAGACCACTTAAATAGTTCTGCATTCCCAGAGCTGATAGCTTGCCAGAATCCCTCAGGAATATGTTCATAATATATCGTTTTATAATATAATTTTAGAAATTACTTAGCAAGAAAATATAGCACATGCTTAAAAATTTAACTCCATTCCAATTCTGTGCAACACTTAAGGTGTGCTTAGCTCTACACATAGCTTAGCCTGCACCCTGTTGGAGTCAGAGAACCAGACAGAGGGCTAAGGCTAGATAAGTATGTACTATTTTGCTAAGCTGGGCTGGACTGCCAAATCAGCCTCTGAAATACTAGTTATAAAATACAAATTCTTAACGAATTTTGTTTTCCTGTTACTCTTCTAACAGAGGCATGTCACTGTGTGACAGGGTAAACAATGACACCACATTTTAGTAATTTGTTCCCTCATGTGATAATTTCACTCTCCTTTTAACACTCTCCAGACATCTGTTTCTGGAGCACAGTCCGTGCACAGAGACGGCAACACAGAGTGCTTTGGAGTGTGCCCGCTAACAGTAATGCCACCTGGTTGCAGAACAAGAGAGTGCACGGTGTGTGTTGGGCGTGAGAATGGGCCACTGAGCAGCAGCTATAGGGGAGAGGAAGATCGGGCTGCCCTGGGCACAGTGTATGAAGTTGCTTTATTTTTCTTTTTGATATTAGTATCCACATGAAGTCAACGGTGCCCCCATGTATCTCTACGAAGTGGCCACTGAATCGGTCTGTGAGTCAGCAGCCAGGCTTCTGTTCATGAGCATCAAGTGGGCAAAGAGTGTCCCAGCCTTCTCCACCCTGTCACTGCAGGACCAGGTAAGGCACCTGCAGCAAGGGCAGTGACAGCCTGGCCTGCTGCTAGCAAGGGCTCAGAAGTCAGACTGGGACATGAACCTTCAGCCACAGACCTTTAAATCTGCAACGGACTCAAGCTGCTCCAAGGTTCAGGACAGAGATGTGGTCTAATCTCTGAAAAACAGGCAGTGCTTTGGAAACCGTTTTCTTTAAACAGCTATTTCATGATGCAAGGGATGCAATCAAATCATAAAAATGCTAATATAAAGCAAATACTATGGGAGGATAAGTTCTAAAGGAAAAGCCATCAGGCCACAGACCAGGAGAAGCAAATTCTCCCAAAGCTCAGTGGGCCAAACTGCTTCTCTTCCCACCTCTTCACTGGAACATAAACACTGGCCTGTCAATTATCCACATAGAGACTCAGATCTCTCCTCTTGAATTGTGCCTCTCCTCTCCTCTCCTCTCCTCTCCTCTCCTCTCCTCTCCTCT